TGTCTTATTTATGATCTCATGTCCCCATGATTTCATTAACCTGACTTTCATCAATGTGATAGAGAAATGACCTCTGATTCACCAAGATAAATTGTCACTTATAGTTCAATCCTGCCATGTTGCTTTCTCTGCAATGCTTAAAATGCAGAGTGATTAGCCTTTCCTAAGTAAAATGCTATCTATCTATCTATCTATCTATCTATCTATCTATGGAGAGTTCTACAGATACAGCTGATCAAGCTTGTGGAAAGTCATGAAGTCAAGACTGATTCAGAGCTGTGGAGCCTCCACAGGACAAGACTTGGCCCTCTGTATGTGGAAGACAGTTGTGAAGCTTGGGTTATCTGAGCATTCACTGGTAGTAGGACCAGGATCTATCCCTGTTGCATGAGCTAGCTTGTTAGAGACCATTCTCAATGAGGGGATGCCATGTTCATCCTTATCACAGGGGAGAAGGGCTTGATCCTGCCCCAACTTAATGTGCCAGATGTTTTTGACTCCCCATGGGAGCCCTTACCTGTTGTAAGGAGTGGATATGGGGTGGACAGAGAGCCAGGATGGGGGTTGGCAAGGACAACTTTGGTTGGAATGTAAAATGAAACTTAAAAAGTAAAATATCCTTAAGGGGATCTTTTTTTTGTACCTATAATGAATATACTTAGACTTTTATGATTAAATCTTTATTTTAGAACATACTTTTGTGGCATGTTTGAAAAGTAACAACACTTTATTCTCTCTGAGATTTTCTCCTTATTAAGTATGAAAATCAACACTTCTATTTGAAATCTACTACTTGAGCTCTGACTCTCCGGGTCTTTGAAATAGCTTTATTTGCAAGTTTCCAAGGTTGAAAGTGAGCTCAACTCATTATCTTATCCTATTCCTACATAAACCAATGTCCACAATGATATCCTGGAAACATGGAAGCAAGCAGTGGAGCTTAAAATTGTCAGTGTCCCAAAAGTTTAAATTTCCTGAGAGGAAGAAATATATATGTCATAATTTGGTGTCTCAGTTCAGGCTGGTATATTTTACTCAGAAATTGTGTTCAGTAAATGGTGAGACTGTTAAAAGAACATTGCCTTAGAAATACATGTTAAGTCCAGTTTTTAGAAAGCCTGAAATACTGCCATTTTACCTACAAATATTGTTACTACATTTGTGGTCCTCAATGGGTAGTGATTTTAAAACTGGAAACATTAACATGTCATTTATATAGATATGTATTTTCTGAGTATTATTTGTCATTCAACATAATATTAATAACCTCACTCAATTTGATTTTATACTTTAGTTTTTGGGAAACTAAGGTACAAATCGATGAAGTTGCCTTATAAAATTTAGGCAATAGCCAGCCAGTGGTGGATCAAATCTTTAATTTCTGAACTCGGGAGGAAGAGGCAGGCAGATTTCTGTGAGTTCCAGGCCAGTTTGGTCTACAAAGTGAGTTCCAGGTCAGTCAGTTCTGTTATACACAGAAACTCTGTCTCCACAGGAAAAAAATTAGGCAATAATAGTTGAACCAGGAAGAATAATTTGAGTATCTGCTCTAGTAGGCATTTGAACCTCTTAGAAGAGAAAGTGGGTGGTACCCTTGAACAAATTGGTACAGGAGACAGCTTCCTGAATATAACACCAGTAGCACAGACAGTGAGATCAACAATTAATAAATGGGACCTACTGAAACTGAGAAGTTTCTGTAAGGCAAAGGACACAGTCAACAAGACAAAAAGGCAGCCCACAGAAAAAATATTCACTAATCCCACATCTGACAGAGGGTTGATCTCCAAATTTTACAAAGAACTCAAGAAGCAAGTCTCCAAAACATCAAAGGACCCAATTAAAAAGTGGGCTGCAGAACTAAATAGAGAGTTTTCAATAGAGGAGTCTAAAATGGCTGAGAGGCACTTGAGAAAGTGCTCAACATCCTTAGCCATCCGGGAAATGCAAATCAAAACAACTCTGAGATACCATCTCACTCCTGTCAGAATGGCTAAAATCAAAAACACCAATGACAATTTATGCTGGAGAGGATGTGGTGAAAGCGGGACACTCCTCCATTGCTGGTGGGAGTGCCAACTGGTTCAGCCACTTTGGAAATCAGTATGGAGATTCCTCAGAAAAATGGAAATAAACCTACCACAAGACCCAGCAACTCCACTCTTAGGCATATATCCAAAAGATGCCAATTCATACAATAAAGATGTCTGTTCCACTATGTTCATAGCAGCTTTATTTGTAATAGCCAGAACTTGGAAGCAACCTAGATGTCCCTCACCCAAAGAGTGGATAGAGAAAATGTGGTACATCTACACAATGGAGTACTATTTCAGCAGAAAAAAAGTAATGGAATCATGAGATTCGCAGGCAAATGGATGACACTAGAAGAAACCATCCTGAGTGAGGTAACCCAGTCACAAAAATAGAAACATGGCATGTACTCTCTCATATATGGATTTTAGACATAGATCTGGGGAGTGCCAGCCTACAATCCTATGGCCAGAGAGTCTGGGAAACAGAAACTTCATTTAGTGGCTGATCGAAGAAGAGGCAGACTCCCTTGGTTAAGTACTGAGCTGAACTCAAGAAAGCCAGTAACAGAGAGGGAGGACTGATGATCAAAGGGATTAAGACTGGGCTGGTTTAACCCCCAGAAACAGCTGAACGGACAAAGGTTAACTCTTGAATCCCAGGCATCAGCCTGGGAATCCAGCATGGGACTGATCAAGACCCCCTGAATCTGGGTGTCAGTGAGGAGGCCTAGGTAATCTATTGAGCCTTGGGCAGCAGATCAGTACCCATCCCAAGTATACACATGGACTTTGGACTCCCATAGAACAATGTGAGGTGCACTCTCACCCTGAACTCTTGGGGAAGGGTCTAGGCCCTGCCCTATATGAAATGACAGACTATGGACACCCACATGGAGGGCCTCACCCTCCCTGGGGGAATGAGGGGATAACGGGGGGGGGGTTGGGGGGAGGGCACGGGAGGAGGGGAGGGAAAGGGAGAGGGACCTGGAACTGACTTGTGAAGCAACCTTGTTTCTTATCTAAATTTAAACTGGAAAAAAAAAGAAAAACATCACCCTGATTAATATCACAGAAACAAACTAGAAAACTATAGGCAGGGAAAGCTGTAGAAACTATATTCAATCAATGCATAAAGTGGATAGACTAGGGAGCTATTCCAATTGACAATTGGAAATTTGTTCATATATTCATTACATGATTAATGAAATATACAGTAATGAGACATCAGTATCCTATAGGGCCTCAACTCTGCCCAAAACCTACAGGTAGAAAAGGAATGCTAAGAGTGGGATAAATAGTCTTCCCCAGGGAATAGCATACCAACTGGTTATCTAATTTCAAAGGTCAGTCCTGAAAACATAGATACATATAAAACTAAGCAGAGAAGGCTTTTCTGAGGAATACATATATATATATATATATATATATATATATATACACACACACACACACACACACACACACACACACACACACATACACACACATCACTTAGTGCAAAAAAGGAAGTCATGAATTTCAAAGATACATGTGAGGAGATTGAAAATATGAAAGGGAAAGGAGAAATGATATAATTATATTATAGTCTCAAATTAAAGAGTATCAGCAAGTTTCATGGGATGTTGGCATATTTTACAACAAAGATGAATCTCAAAGGCGTAGCTTAAGTGACAATAGCAGGATATGAAAGACTATGCATACAGTATGACATAGTTTGTGTGAAATGCCTACAAAAAGCAAAACTATGTTAGGCATTGTGAATGAGGATTAAGAATTTCTCAAATAAACATTCTGGAATTTTTTATTATAATGAGTGAAAAGTTACATAAATTTTCTAAAAGTCATTCAGAATATTTAAAGCAAATGAAGTATATGGCTTGTATAAATATGTGTCAATATATCTGCTTATTTCTAAAGACTAGTTCTAAGTATTTTACCCATCCTTTGGGAAATGGAATGATGGGAAAATAAAGCAAAGATAGTCATTCTCAGAACAAGAAATTCAGTGTTGAATAATCTGATATAAACACCCTAATAAGAAGTAGTGGATTATTAAATAAAGATAAAAATAAGTAGATTGAATAGGAATTTTAAAAGGAAAATAATTGAAATATGAGCTAAGTACGAGACATTAGAGTTCCATTAAACTTTTTAAAATAAAGTCATTTTGACTGATTCGCAAAATGTTTTCTTGCTTGCATCAAACTGTATGATTGTACCTACTTATCAGCCTTTCTCCATAATGTTTCCTTCAGGTAATCTTTCATAATCACTGCCCTCTTTCACGTTCTACAGGACAAGTATTTTTCATTTAACATATGATGGAGTTCATGATATTCTCATATCCCCAAGTCTGACTTTCTTTCTTTTGTTCTTTTGTTTTGTTTTTCAAGACATGGCTTCTCTGTCTGTTCTGGAACTAACTCTTAACCAAGCTTGTCTCAAACTCACTTAATCCTCCCAATTGCTGGGATTCAAGGCATGCACCACCACTGCCCAACATGATTTATTTTTCTTAACATAATGATCTACAGTTCTACCAAAGTCATTTGTAAAAGATGTCATCAGATGTTTTCATAGCAGTTTTTCTCAGGGACAAACTTTGTGAAAATTTAATAAATATGTAAATGGAATTCTTAATTTGTCTAGATGAGAAAAAACCTGGAGCCAGATATAAAGAAAAATGCTGGGAGATCAGAGACAATGAGCAAACCACTGCCACACCTTACCTCCTTAGCATTTCAGCAGACAAGAGAGCCAGTTCCTGTTTCTCCCTGCTTATATCCTGTTTCTGCCCAACTACTTCACTTTCTGTCTGTCTGTGCAGAACTCCAGACCTCTATAGATGACTAGTGGCAAGCTCCATTCTCTGACCTTCAGACAGGCTTTATTTGCACAAGAAAGATATCATCACATAAACATCTATCATAATGTCTACTATTGTAAGGCTGATGTAAAAATATTTACCTTTACAATCCAGTTCATCAGAGTTATCTCCACAATCATTTGCACCATCACACAGTTTTCCATGAGGAACACAGCGACGATTGTAACAAGGTTTAAAACCATTTCGACAACTTCTGTTTTCTAATGAAGAAAGATTGAAACTTGTTGCTAGAGGTCATAAGGAAATATTTCCAGAATTTGGAAATTTTGTAACAAGGTTTAAAACCATTTAGACAACTTCTGTTTTCTAATGAAGACAGATTGAAACTTGTTGCTAGAGGTCATAAGGAAATATTTCCAGAATTTGGAAACTGTGAATAAAATGCCCTTACTAATGGACTCTGAATCCATGAAGCAGTGCTATGCTATGTGATAAGTGAGAGGAACACTGTTCATCAGCCACCAAGGAACAGAAGTTCATACACTCACTTGAGTTCTTTAGACCAGGTGCTTCCTAGTCTTTGATCTAGGATTGTATCTACCAGTTGTTTCTCACACTTCTCCCATGCTCCACAGGAGTTAAGATACAACATATAATCAATCCAGAAGAGAAAGTTTGTATCTCAGAAGTAATAAAACATTCTATGATCCATCCATTAATTCATCCATATTGGCAAGAATTTTATAATAAAAAGATGAAAAAGCTTGAATTTCTAAAATAGAATCATCAAAGAATCATAGAAATTTCAATAAACTTTGACATATAAAATCCATCAGGTGAGTAACATTTTCTTTAACTACCCCTTAGTCAAAGAAAATATCAAATGGGAATGTTTACAGTGCAACATGCCCAGAGTCATGGGATATCTTAGATGAGTGCCAAGAAAAAAACATATTGCTGTCAGTGACAACATCAAAAGTTGCAAAAATATGTAAAATAGAATACTATAAAATAAGTTCTAGCAATACAGCTCACAGCACTACAAAAGCAAGTATAAAATAAATCCAAAATTATATGTAGCAAAGAAATGCAAAGAGCATAACAGTATTGAAGTAAATAGGAACTGAAAAAATACAAAACACACATGATAATGCTTAATATATAGAATATAAAGGAACTCAATAGCAAAAACCCCAAACAATCCGACTTTATACAGCCAATAGGTCTAAATTAACATTTTCAAGAATAGCCAAAAAGTGTATGAAAATTTATTTAATGACTATGAACAGATCACAAGGCCAACCACTTTGAAATATTATATAATCTTGACTATCAAGAATAACATATAATGAATGACTAATAAGGAAAAAATAAAAGGTAGCAGTTTCCAGCCAATATGAACAGAAAAAGAAATACTTATGTATTTATCATTATGGAAATTATTATGAAAAGTTTTCCAAAATGAGACATACATTTAGCATATTAGTTAATGATCTTATTGCATATTTATATTAAAGGATGTAAATAACTACTGCATAGCAGCATCTGCATTAGTATGTTTACTGTAGCACTATTTGCAGTTGTCAAAACAGGAAATCAGACAAGGTGTCAATCAAGGATGAAGTATTAGGAAAGCACAGTCTATGTATACAAAAGATTACTAAGAAGCTTTTTACAAAGACTAAAAGTCTGTCATTTGCATCGAGAAAGACAGAGCTGAAAGGGAAGATACTGTATTAAATGGGAAGATAGTACATTAAAACCAACACTAAATGTTGTCATTATATAGGAGAGATAATCTATTTCTCAAGAAAGTAGAAAATACAGTATGTCACCCACATTTTCCATGGCCCAGAGATCTAATTCTGTTGGTCTCATAAAGTTAAAATAAGTAATAGTATTTTCAACAAAAATCCAGATCTTTACTTGTACAGTAAAGATCACTGGAGTAGCGCATGTAGATCCTCACGGATTGCTACCACAGAAAAACTAATCTCTTTAAGAAGATGACTTTCACTTGACACCAATGTGGGGGGGGCAGTTCATGTGATGTAAAGCCATGTTTCTTGTGGATCATTGCTAACACAACCAGTTTCCAAATCAAGGGACACTATACCCATGGTGATCCTGGAAACAAAATGGAGTGAACAATACTTTGACCTCAGTAAAACATGCTTTTGGCTGAGGGTGCATCTTTGCTAAAGGGTAAGTCAGTCTGTAATATCCATCACTCATGGATACTTCTGAACTATATGTTTTGGAATATGAACCTAAAATTATTGGCAAATAAAAGTCAGAAGGCAGTTTATGAAAAAACCATCCTATTCACTTTTAATTTCATGTCATGGATAGAAAACCATAACAATATTATTCACTGACAACCCTGTAACTGGTTAGATAATAATGTGTTTCATTTTTAAGACAAGCAAAGTCTAGTCGATTTGCCTCAGAGATACATGTCAATGAGTGACGTGAAGGCGATTATTCACATGAAATAGACACAAACACCCTTGAAATTACAAAACCAAATCCTAAATATTTTTGTACAATGACAAAGTGCTCATTGAACACTTACCGCAATAGAGTAGTTTCTCATCTGATTTGTCCTTACAATGAGGGATGCCATCACAGGTGAGCAGATAGTCAATACATTCCCCATTTCCACACTCAAACTCAGAATAGATATTACAGGAAGAGTTTTTAGCTGAAACAATGAAAAGTAAGGATTTGTATAATGATACTTATTTGATAATATTAGCGTTGCATTCTTTAAGTTAAATTATAATATAAACATATAAAATGAAGTAAAGAACTGCCAGCAGTTCCCCACATTTCCTGACTGAAAATGAGAATAAACATTTTCTGTCTTTTTGAATTTACCTTTGCCAGTCTTTGGTGAGTTGTATGTAAAGTATGTTTTACTTTTATTACTATTTTTTATGCTTATTTGTATGTTCTGTTATTATTTGCTGATCACATGTGTGCAGAGGAAAACAGTAGTTAGAATTTGATAACTGACATGTAGAGAAGCTATCGTAAAATAATTTCTTTTAAGAAAGTGCCAATTACTTAGGTGTGGTTGCTCATGCTTCTAATCCCAGAACGTTTGAGCCTGAGGCAAGAGGATTACAAGTTCATGGCCTTTGTGGATCATTGTGAGTTCAAGACCAGTCTAAGTTGCATAAAGAAATCTTTTTTCAAACTTCAAATAAAATAGCCAATTAAGTAAGCTTTGTGCATTGGAACAATGCACTGGTGTGTTCTTACTATTATATATTCCCCCAAACAAGAAAACATTTCCAGGAAGAGAGGGCTATTTCTGAATGACGGAATGAAATCACCATAAGCAAGATGTGGTCCCTACTTGAGGTACTTCTAATTGTGTCTTCTCAACTTTCTGCTGTTGAGACCCAGTAGCCAGTTCCTACTAAAAACTAGAACTGGAAAAACACATGCACAGTTGCCTCCTGCCTAGAAGTAGTTGGATGGAGAAATAGTTGGCAAAAGATAAAAGAAATATAACTTCAGACAGCTTGGGACCTGATACCTACAATATCTACCACCACTGCCATGCCATCAAATCTCAAATACCTAGAGCTCTCCTTCCCTCCCTGCCTTCCCCCCTCCTTCTCTCCCTCCCTCCATCCCATCCACCCTCTCTCTCTACCTGTTGTGACTTGCTACTATGTGCAAGTACAGGTCAATAATTACAGGATACAAAATACCTTTTCTGCAGCTGAGTTATACCTCAAATGTGCCACATGTTTCCTCTTTTAAGGGTTTTATTGGAAAAAGAATTTAATGACTTATCTTTAATCTTATAAAATAGACTCAACAAACTTTTGTAATTTAATTTAGTGTGTGAAATGTCCTGGTGTGTGTTTGTCACACTTTTTGTTAACAAATTTTTTGTCAAAATCAAGTCATATTAATAGTTCTGAATATAGTTATTATTGGTATATATAGGAGGTACAGTTCAGTTTCATGGATTATTATCCAATATTTTGAAATTTCAGAAATGTTCTCTAAAGTTTCTATTAATACTACTTGACATTCTCATTGTTTTTATTCTTCCTTAAAATTTCTCTAATCTTAATATAATATTTATGTATTAGCCTGTATCTAAATTTTCTAATTTAATTCATTTATGCAAATTCATTCAGTGTGAACTCATTTTTAAAGGAACTTACCAGCCAAAGTAAAATATCATTTCAGAGGATGTAACAGAGGATTTAAACCTAAAAGCTACTGGTAAAATTAAAGGGAAATATATTAATAATAGGACTAATTTTGATGGGAAAAATTTATCTTACATCATGAAATGAACAAAATTTATATTGATATATTAGTAGTAGTGATTGTCTTGTTTGCTTTATATACAACTCATGTACTTAAATTATATTCTTTAATTTTTATTTATTTTCACTTTTGATATTATAATACAAATCTTATCATTTCCCTTCCTCTTGCCTCCCTCTAAACCCTATCACCTACCCCTTCTTTTATTCTTTCAAATTAATGGGCTCTTTTCATTAATTGTTGTTTTATGTATATAATTCTAAATCTGTAAACATGATTCACTCCATTGGCGTATGTTACTTGTATGTGTGTTTTACATGACACAGCTAGAGTAACCTCAGAAGAGAGGACCTCAGTTGAAGAACTGACAGGGTCAGGCTAGCCTTTGGCCATTTTTGTGAGAGTCTGCTAGTTTGATGATTGATGTAAGAGGACCCAGCTCATGGAGGACAGGGCCAACCATGGCAAAGGGGTACTAGGTTGCTTAATGAAGCCAGATGAGCAAGTCATAAGCAGTGTCCCTCCATTGTTTTTGCTTCAGGTTCCTGTTTCAGTTGCTACTCTGACTTCCCCCAAAGATGAACTGTAATTTGTGAGATAAAATAAACCATTTTCCACAATGATGCTTTCAAAGAGTTTTATCACTGCATCAGAATGAAAATAGGATATACATATAATTTAAAAATAAATTATGTGCTAGCACAATTCTTGCTCACATTTGCATTTGATACAGAGCACTGAAGGCGTCCTGTTTCTTTCCACAGACAAGTTTGCTTTTTCCTCTCATTCTCTTACATGGCAAGTGCTTTAGTGAAGTCTGCTTGCCCTTCTTGTATTTGCAATGGTTCTTGATGAGGTTAACAATGCTGTATGAGAAGCAAATACCTAAATATTTTTTCAACAATTGAGGCAACAAATGGTTTTCTACATTTACCTTGAAATATGTGTTAACAAATAAAAGAGACCACTAACATTCATAAACAATGCTAGTGAATCAATCAAGGTATGGCCATAAATGTGTGAAAAATATTCTGGTTTATCATCAATGGACTGACAAGTAGAAAGTCACAGCTTCTTTGCAGTTTTGCTAATGGATCATGTAATTTCAAAACAAACACATAACTGATAGAAAATGCCTCCATAGCAATTTGCCCCCATGAGGAACCCAGTGCCACACTTCAGTTCCATAGCAGTGCAACTCTGCATGTTTAAAATAGTTTCAAATTGGCCTCTCCACCTCTCAGCAGCAGAGTGTAGGAGGTAGCCTATTAGGGGCAGTTAAATATAAACTTTGGTGTAGTAACAGGCCTGTACTGCACACTGCACACTCCCATTGCTGTTTTTATCAAAGACATTACCTCAACCCTAGCTTGTAGTGTGACCTGTGAGAGAAACATGAATGATTGTGATGTATGACTGATGTTCCAGGTATGCATGTGTCATCAGATCCTGATTATTAGGACTTTACCCACAAAAGCAAACTGAAAGACAATGCAGATAGTGTTGATCTGTTCAGACAACTGCTAGGCAACAAAGAGTTCTAGGGAAGTGAGGCCCCCTTTATTAAAATCCTTTATTTGCATCAAAATTCAGTAACTAGTTAAAACATCTCTCCTTTGGTCTATCACAGTCGTCTATAAAGCTAAAGTTATATTTTTCCTAAGATGTATCCTTGGTTTTGGTACCTATTCACAAAACAAAAGACACTTAGCAAATGAGAGAAAAGATCCTCCTGGTAGATAAAGGGTGTATGAAGATAAAGATGAAAAGTACTTATTGCCAATGAGGTAAATGCACCCACTTATGTTAATTTCCTGACAAGAAAGATGAGAGAAAAGAATACAAAGGGGGAAAGGGAGATGTGTCAAAATTGGCACATTTTGAAAATCAGTTCACTGATTTCCAACAAGATGTTTCACTTTCCACCTTTTTCACATAGATAGGACAAGTTTCAGTGTTAAAGGGAAATTAACCTTTTGTACGCAGCTTGGTAATTTTTCATGGTAATATTGAAACACTAGAACCATTGTTTATTTTGAAAATTTAGCTGTTAATAAGGGTGTATTATAATGGTACTAATTACAGACTGCAATGCCTTTGGGAAGAATAAACATTGTGCAAGGCTGGAAAGTTAGATTCTTTAATTAACAGTTTGGAAATGATTACAAATAAGCTGCATGAGCCATTCTCTCTCCTTTACATACTGCCATAGACTATTGAGGAGGTTATTCCATGGCCACTGATCTCCTGCATAAATTTTAGTTCATTTCAGCTGTAATTAATTTCATAATTGTGAGAGTCTCAAAGACACAGCTATAATTTGATAGATGAGCTTGTGTGCAGGAACTTCTGTGGCTCGTCCTAACAGAGTCAGGCCTCAATCACAGTGACTCCTAAGTTATTTTCTTGGATATTGCTACTTATCACAGGATGCTACAAGAAAATCCCAGCGTACTGAATTCTTGCATAAACAGATATAAAATAAATGAACCTCTGCAAATTTATGAATGCCATAACACAATATCAATATATTTTAAGCATATTACACACATTACCATTACTTACTCACACATCTGTTGTTAGCTAGCAATACTCTGTCCCCTCTACAGGAGCAATTCACTCTTCCATCAGGTGTTAAAAGGCAGAGGTCATGGCAACCTCCATTCAGTAATGCACATGGAGAGAGTTCACCTGCAATGAAGGATTCCATGAGTAACAGAAAACTGTTGAACTGCCTTAATTTCCAGGACACTCAGACAGTTTGAGAATGTCATGGCATTATGAGAGTTTTTCCTACTTTAAACCACAATTCTGTAAGTAATCCAATGGCTGCAGAAGGTCTAAACCAAGATGATAACCTAAGAAAATTATCGTTCCAGAAACAAGTTAGCCCTTAATTTCAAAGATATGAGAAAAAAGGGACAGTGAAATAGACCTTAAAAATAATTAAAACTTAAGTTGTTCTTGTGTAACCAAATAAATTCTGTAGAAGTTATTTAAACATTTAAGACAATTTGGATAACCAAGTAGTCAAAGTCTGAATATTATATCCCAAAATACATGATCACAAAATATATATTACCACGAATAACAAAGAGGTGGCAGGTTGTACAATTAGGAAATAGTCCCTATAACAACTTACAGCTATTGGTGTCATTAGCAACAGCTATGATTCCCATTGGCTGATGTGGAATATCAGAACGAAGAATTTTTGTTTCTCCTCCTGTGTACTTGTTGGAACGCAAAATAGCTCTTCGTCCCCAGTCAGACCAGAAGATATAATTGTCATAAACCGCCAGACTAAGAAAAGTTCCTGGTCCTGACTTGACAATCACCTGAAATAATAAAATATAGTTAACACGAACATGTAAATATTAAGGCAGTGATATCAACTTTTGCTCCAGAAAGTGAGAGATGAAAGTCCATCAGTTATCAACAGTAGGGAACTTTACATCAGAAATTCTTTGACTGAATCACCACAGTATGTTTTGTATTATATTTTAACTGTTTTTGTGTTCATCAGAGTATGTCGCAGAATAAAACAAAAGCAAAGGATGAGTGAGAAAATCCATATCTATTGAACTGTGGTTTAAAAAGTAACATAAACAAACAAAAGATGATAGAAAAGTATTTCTTTTGGAAAAAAATAAGTGAGCCTATTCACTTACAAACGACAAAACTTTGTAAATTAAGCACACAAGATAAAGTAGTTTTAGAAGTTGAAAATAATATGGGAATTGAATAAGAATTCAAAAACTAAAATCCCAATCCAATCAAATGCCATTCTCTTTAGGAAATCCCATGCCAACCTAAATGAAATCCTTCAGACATTTTGTAGAAATTCATAAGCTGCCTTTAAAATGTATGCAATAAATGCAAAGGATGTGGAAACGGAAAAACAAAACCAAACATGCAAAAAAGGATAAAACAAACAAACAAAAACATTGTTTTTGGAAAACAAATATGACTATACTTAAAGGTATCACAAAATAATTTTTATCAAGTCAGTATAGTATTGGCAACTGATAGAAGACATCAGTAGAAGACTAAGACAATAAAGGCCACATACATCCATACTATGGCTAACTAATCTTTGACAAAAGCACAAAGCTTAGTTAAAGAAAAATATATGTGAATGAATAGCATATAAACAACAATACATATAGATGTCTGTACTCTGTGTATAATTTATCTGAAAATAAGTCCAAAGACCTTAGGAAATACTTATTATGTCCCTGGATCTCACAATGGCTGTATTTTTTAGTGTAATTCATTAAAATTAATTAAGTCAATACATTTTAAAATATTGCTCTTTAAATAAAAATTGGCAAAACAAGAAAGCAATCAACCTAAATTAGGAGAAAAATATTTTCATATTATAAGTGTGACAACACACTTGTGAATATAAGTGTAACAAAAGACTTGTCAAAAGAATTCTTAGAAGTCACTTTGGAAGTCAGTATGGAGATTTCGCAGGAAAATGGGAATCAGTTTACCACAAGACCCAGCAATTCCACTCTTAAGCATATACCCAAAAGATGCACATTCATAGCAGCATTATTTGTAATACCCAGAACAGGGAAGCAATCTAGATGCCCCACCACTGAAGAGTGGATAAAGAAACTGTGGTACATTTACACAATGGAGTACTATTCAGTGGGAAAAAAACAATGGAATCTTGAAATTTGCAGGCAAATGGATGGCACTAGAAGCCATACTGAGTGAGGTAACCCAGTCACAAAAAGAGAAACATGGTATGTATTCACTCATTTATGGATTTTAGACATGAATCAGAGGAATACCAGCATACAATCCCACTGCCAAAGAGTCTAGGAAACAGAACCTTCATCCAGAGACTGATGGAGGCAGAGGCAGATAACCATAGACAAACACTGAACTGAACTGAACTCCTGGAATGCAGTGTCAGAAAGAGAGAACTGATGGGCAAAGGAGTTAAGAGTGGGCTAGTTTAACCCACAGAAACAGTTGACCTGAACAATGGGGAGCTCTTGGACTCCAGATTGATGGCTGTGTGGAAAGCATGGGACTGACCCAGACCCCTTGAATACTGGTGTCAGTGAGGAGGCCTAGGTAATCTATGGGGCCTTGGGTAGTATTTACCCCTGGCGTACAAATATACTTTGAGTGCCCATGCCACAATATGGGAGGCTCTCTCAGCCAGGATCTTGGGGGAGGGCCTAGGCCCTGCCCTGGATGAAATGACAGTTACTGGAGATCCACCATGGAGGGCCTCACCTTCCTTAGTGATCAGAGTGGAGATTGGGTGGGGGACTGGGGGACCTGGTGGGGAGAGGGAGAGGGAGCTGGAATTGTCATGTGAAACAAGATTGTTTCTAACCAAAATAAAAAAAAAGAATTCTTAGAAGTCAATAATGCAATGAAAATTGCAATTACAGATGTGGGGAAAGGGTAACTATCATTCATTACGTATGGGAGTGCAAGCTGGTGCAGCCCACCTGGAAATCAGTGTGGAGAATTTCCCCAAATCTAAAATAAATCTACCCTGTATTCCAGCTGTACTGCTGCTCAGCATGTATGAAAAAAGTGCAGCCAGTGGATGATGAGGCTGTGTATCCCAGGGGTGTGTGTGTGTGTGTGTGTGTGTGTGTGTGTTTGGTGGATGACTGTCACTTAAACTGGAATAATTTGTAACTTCATTTGAAATGTTTATCGTCACAACCCTAGATAAGTGTAGTTCTTCTTTTTTCATCAATGGAGCTACTTTTTCAAGACGAGACCATTATAGAAATTCACAACTGCTTAAAATATAAGGAGTAATGTAATGGACAAAGGTGTGGTCAATCCCACTTTAAATTTGCCACCCAACTTCTACATCTTTAGTTAATGAACACTGAGGGAAAGGGGATGAAAACACTTGCTAGGTGCCAGAGCAGTAAGATGTTTTCTGTGAGATAGTCTTCTTCACATTACAGGGGTGCTGCCCCCATGAGATTTCAACAATATGTTTGCTTATACTATTCTTAAACAAAGCACCAGCTACCATGCCAATGAGAACTGGGGAAATTTCATACACCCACAAGCCTATATAAAAAGTTATAGGTAATTAAGAGATGTCTTCTCCAGTGATTAACTCCCCAATGGTTATACAATCCCAAGTAGTTAGCCCTAAACACATATACTGAGTTACATTGAATAAACTCAGTGGGTGGTATTTATAAATTTGTACGTATGTGTGTAAATATATAGAAGTAACAGTAACAAGGCTAAGAGGTCATGAATTTGAAAGGAAATTGGAGTAACAGTTGAGGAGCTGGATAGAGGGCAGAAAGGGGTAAAATATATAAATATAGTACTCATATGAAATTTTCAAAAGTGGAAAAATGTTGTAAAATATTTATGGGCCACTAAAATACATACGCTTTGGAGAAATAGATACAACATTAGAAATATGTTAATTAAAAGAAAAATTCTATCTCTATTACCTTAACTACATAAAAGAAACTTATGAAGTTACTAACAATATCATCTTTTCTACAAACCTGCCTTATTAATTCCAAAATGCCGTCTTATAACCTTTTAACTAAAACAATTGCTTCATTGTTGTATGATTATATGAGTAACTTCTGTTCTAGAAATAAGTGCGATTAACATATAATTTGATTTAAAACTACTTTGCTATTTTTGCTAATACTTTGATTCATTTGATCTGATTAGAATGTGGTATTCTATATTATTTTTCTCATAATATTTTCCAGGCTGTTTTTGATCTTATGATTCTCCACTCAGAGATTACTGGCATTCAGGTGTGTGTACCATACAAAAGTGATATTTGGTCTTTCTAAGAGATTCAAGATGATGTCAATAATTTTGGAATACATTTGTTGAGAAATAATCATAAAAGATGAAAAAAATGTAAAAATAAATGAATAATCCTTCACACCTAATATTGTTCAGCACTTAAATGTGTATTTCTTTGGGTCTGCTTTCATTTCTCTGTAATTGGCATTTGTCTGGTTTGAACTTGTGTAGATCTTTTGTATGCTGTCATAGTCTCTATCAGTTTACATGTGTGTCAGGTCAGTAGTTTGTGGATGACAGCTCAGATCTTACAATCACCTCTGCTCAGATCTCAGCCCACCGGATGTTGTGACTCACAATCACAGTTGGTCTCCCCCATCAGTTAATACGCTTGCAGATTGACCAGCTGATTGAGGTGACCCTACTAAATTGTCAACCAAGGTTAACCATCACAGATGCATAATACATAGTTTCAAATTTTAATAATGGTGGCTATAAATAATAAATGATATTCTGATCATTTTTAATGCTATGAATTGAATCTTGAAGAGGTTAAATAATTACCCAAAGTCATCTAAAGCTGCTTCTGACTCAATACAACCAAGGTCTAAGTTAATTGTTATCTAAAGATTTGGCCTAAATAATAGGGACTAGAAAAGTTTTTTTCATAGAGTTAATCTATATTTGAACCTTTAAATTAGAGATTTCCTTGATTTCATCAGCATTATAATTAATGTAAACATTGTAAATATCCAATCAACATTTTTAAATGAATAAGAATGAAATTTTTTAAGTTAGATGTAAATCAAAACATTTTAATGGGTAGTTGTGGTTATCAAATGTCTATTTCCAAGATAACATCTCTTGTTGGGTTTAACACTGATTTAGTTGGCTTGTTACTTTTCAGTGTTTGCTGATACATCAAAGGGGAAAAGCAATATGACATAAACTATAATTACACATATAATTTTCAATAGATTTCACTAATAATGAACCAAACTCCCTCCATCTCATTTCTGATTAAAGCTCAATCATGCATTCCTATCTCCATATTAAATATGTTTACCCAAACTACCCTAGCTCTGTATCTTGCAAGCCTAATCAGCATCTTTAAAGACAATGCAAGAGCATTGTCATCATGAATTTCTGTTTGCAGTATTTAACTTACAGCATAGTTTTCATGCACTTTCACTTAGAACCTATAAATAGATCTGTTTTTCAAAATAAGTCATGGTTTTCAGAAAATTTGTTTCTGCACTGACACTTAACTCTACGAATGTTCTCACAGATAAACAATTAAATTGATTTTGAGAATATGTTTTATAGACCTAAAATGTATGTGTCACAAATCCATATGTCTACCTTGTGCCTTTTGACTCTTGGGATTAGCATCTGCACTGGTATCTTTTCTATTGAAGCATCAAAAGCAATCAATAAAGAAAGAAATTTCAGATTAACACACATACAATATAGTCTCTATACCATCTATTGTATGTTAAAGCAAACAATATAATAGTCAGACAAATGGAAGGCATCTAAAGGCTCTAGCTGATTT